AAGGAAAACAATAGGGCCTTCGCCCTTTCAGGGCTTGGGCCCTAAATATAGCTGCGAGCAGCGATTGCGGGCCCAAGCCGGTGGCACCGCAACCCCAGTGCCTTTAGTTACCTAAAGGCACCGGGGTGGCGGTACCGCCGCATTTGGCCCTTCATCGCTGCTCGCAGCTATATTTATATATATATATATATATATAGCCGGTGGCACCGCCACCCTGGTGCCTTTAGGGTTATTGTGCACAAACGTAACACTGCTTTGACTGTCGAAAAGAAGTGTGCCGTAGGGCTTGCAACAGTGTGGGCTCTGCAAAAGTGCGCATCGAGGGCACATATCAACCAAAATGTATGCGTGAGCAACCTTCTGAAACCTAAAATGATAAATGAGACACCCTACAGACAGTCATGGATTTAACGGACGCATTACATAAGTACACAACACTGAAAATTCATATGAAGTGTGCCATTTGGGACAGGGCCTATGATCGTGAACACAGTTCAATGTTCCCCCTAATTTTTTTCTATTTTTTCACCACCAGAGCAAAAATATTCTTTATACCTGACCTGTACATCATATTTAGAAAAACAATGGTTTCAACATTCATTTGTAACTTTTAACTTGAATGTGCCATTTATATTTTATTTGACCCTTAATGTAACGTATTGGTATTAAATCATATTTGTGAAAAACAAGCACATTTTAGGTTATCTGATATTTTTTTCCAGTGCTGTTAACTGTACAGTCTTTACCAATAAATACTATGAAAAATAAATTTACAAAATCTTTTGCAGGACAGTTCAATTCTTTACAATAAAAGAATAGTAAGAAAGAAAAGTAAGCTGTTACACTGAGATGGTTTGGGGAAACCATAAAGTATTTTTGTACAGTCAATGAATTGTGTACAGGAAGCATTAAACCATCAAAGTTAAATGATTGTTTGTTGCTTATGAATTTCCAATATTTTCTTTAGCAAGGGGTTTCAAACTTTTTAATGGTAATGAGCCCTAAACAACCCTTGTGAGGTTCTTTATTTAGCCTTAAAATATAATAAAATATAGGCCTAATATAACCTAAACAATACCTTTGTTAGATTCTTTATTTAGGCTCATAATATAATACAAAAGAGGGCTAATATAATATAAAAAAACGAATTGAAGTATTTGAAGTTATATAATATATCAGTTTAAAATAAATGCTTCAATTTGTGGACATATTATATTATTATAATATGAAAACAAACTGAAGCATTTAAATAGATCTAATAGCTAAATATTTTCAAGAAAAGTGAATATGCGAACTCTTTAATAGTAATCATACCTAAACCTACCCCCCACACAAAAACATTGATTTAAACTAATGATGTATTTTGACTTCATGTGGGTGGGTGGGTGTGTAATTGTTACTGTTCTGTGTCCATCAACCATTATTTCCACCACTTTAATCAGTTTTCACTCTATAGACGAATCCGACGAGCGTTCTGTGTAGGCCGCCATCTTGTGGCGACGCCATTACTGAGCTGTTACCGGTGTGTCAACAAACCTCCCTGATAACGCACCCTCGATGACGGCTACAGCCAGGCAGAATGACTTGTTGGGTTGATGATGTTAGACAGTGGCCTCCAGTCACAGCTGAAGGTACAAATGATCTTACAGATTATTTATGAAAATAGCTTGGCAAGCTAGCTAGGCTAACGTTTGCTAACGAGGAAACTATAAAAAGATCTGTCCATTTGGCAACAATAAATAAATGAATAACATCAAATAAACGAATTCATGTTTTTCATTTGTGTCCATTATTTATCTCATTTTCACACACTAGAAAGTATACATAATATCGTCCAATTAGTGTTTTTAAACCATGGAAAGGTCAATATAACAGCAGGAGAACAATTGTCACATAACGTTATATTTAGATCAGAAAAGCCATTTAATGACCATAGCATGTTAATTTAATAGAAAAAATAGCTAGAGAGATTTTGCTGAGCACTATATTACATATTTATTATATATCATTAAATAATTGTTATTATAACAAAAACTGCATTATATTTAATTTGTTATTTTAAACATTTAATAATAACAGCAGATTGGGCCCTATGTTTACAGCATTAGGTGAGATTATTATTTTTTAAATAAAATTTAAAATATGTATCCAAATTAGTCAATATTGAATCAAAATCAGAATCGAATCACAAGTATGGAATTAAAATCTTAAAATCTTTGTCAAGCAATAATAAAAACTGTATTCTACGACTCATTGTACAATGTAAACATGTTACCAAATGTTTTGACAATCACCCCCCCCCCCCACCAGACATAACAGTAATATTTACTAACATTACTGCCGCAATGCGCCCCTTCTGTTGTTTTAAAGGTATTCAAGAGTATTTTCTCCTTCGCTTGGCATCCGATGATCAACAAAGTGCCAACTACAGGTCACTGATAGAGGGTCAAAATTATCTGAGCTCCGGATGGGTTGGTAAAATAATGCACACCCTACCAGATGATAAACACATAGTTCTAAAAGGACCTGTCCGATTTTCACAGACCATTAACAACACTCATACAGTACAAATAACTCTGGAGAGGAAGAATGGGAAAGTTGTAGATGTGCACTGTGATTGCATGGCTAACAGAGGGAAGTGTTGCAGTCATACGGCAGGTCTGCTTTACAAGCTGAAAGATGCTGTGTCTCGAGGCTTCACCGGTACAGCCTGCACGGACCAACTGTGTGCCTGGAATCAATCAACTTGGACGAATGTGGTACCAGACACGATTGAGAACATTCAAGGGCCAGACCATGAGGGTACAAGTATGAAAGCTATCTCCATGGCATTTGAGACTGATGCACAGGTCATACAACACTTCTCATCACCTGAGTTGGCTGGCTTAGCCATGATACCTGGGAGCATTTTGCATCAGGTGCTGACTGCACACCCACAGAAAAAAGCAACCAATGAGCTACCCAGATGGCATGAACAGTGTGCTGAACATAAATGTAACCTATGCAATGTAGTGTATGAAAAATATGTAAAATGTGGGAAAGATGAGAGAGAGAAAATTGAAACAAAATCAAAGGGCCAGGATTGTCAATTTTGGCTGCACCAAAGAAAAGTTAGGATTACCAGCAGTGAGGCATCAGGCCAGTGCCGGCGCTATGGGGGGGCATTAGGGGGCAATGCCCCCCCAAATGTATTTTGTGCCCCCCCAAATTGAATTATGATATAATTTACAAAATAATATCAGTTTAATTTAATTCACATTTCAGTGAGAAATAGTACAAATATATGTCTAAACGGCTCATTAGCTGAAAATACAATAAAGCCAACATAAAAACCAGTGTGACGCTGTGAGGAAACCCCCCTGCCGCCCCCCCAATCACGCACGTTAATACTTGAATGAAATGATTTTCAGTTGGCGCGACCGCGCGAGCTTCCTGCATTCAAAACAAAGCAAACAGATGAAAACTCTCCAAAAATGGAAATTAGAAAATGGTTCAATACCACAGTTTCTCCTTACACATCGATTACCCCATACAGCAAGACAACGACAGCCCGGCTTTGGTATTCGGTGCTTCTACCGTGCAGTGTTGTAGTCGAGACCGAGACCAAAGACAGTCGAGTCCGAGTCGTAAGCTATTTATCTAACTGGCATGTACTGTAATGTTCACTATGTGTTGTCACGTGATGAAACTAATAGTTTAGTTGGCCTAGTTTTTGCGCTGCCCATTGTCCTAAAATGTCACTCACTCCCGCCGTGGAGAAACAGGTGTTTAAGCCTATATTTTCTTGTAAATGGAAATTGTAGAATAATATCTGTGTATGTTGTGGGTGTTTTTATTTGTTAAAGGTGTTAAAGGTTTTATTTGATAAAGGTAACTACATGATGCTTTTTTAAGGCTACGAATGTAAATGCTTATGTTAGAACATAGCAGAATAAAGATGAGTAACTTAGCTTTTTTTTTCTCACTTCCGCCATTGAGATAGCATAAACGGCTATTCTGTCAGTGAGAGACGTACTGTGTACATGTTCGTTAGCTTTGCTATTATAAAGCTGTGGTCAGAGTCGGTCTTGCAATTCTTTTTTGTATAGGCCTATTTAACCCTTGATCAAATTTCTTAAGAGTCGCTCGTCTTGCAACAATGTGTAATGTTTTATGTGTTTATTGTGTGGGTTGCATTACTTCATGTTAATAGCTAACAGAAAAGGCAGTAGCAATAATAAATATAGGATATCTAATATCGGAAAAAAAGTCCCCATACCTACCTAGTGCCCACCCATTGAAAATAAATGCCCCCCTGCTAAAAGCGGTCTGAAGCCGGCTCTGCATCAGGCGTACCCAAAAAAACAGACCCAAGTAACTGGGTAGAAAGAAAATTAAATGCTGTGTTTGCTGGATGCACAGCTACGAGATATGGTCAATCAGCGGAGCCTTTAGCTAGAAAATGGTTTGAAGGGATCACAGGGCAGACAGTTGAGACCACAGGTCTTATTGTACATGAGAAGGAAAACTGGCTTGGTGCCAGTCTAGATGGAGTAGTTGACAAAGATACCATCCTTGAGATTAAGTGTCCTACACCAAAGAAACTTGAGGCACATGATGGCAGTCTGCAAAAAATGATTGAATCAAACACATATGATGTGAAATATGAAAACGGAATGTATGGCCTTAGGGAAACTGCGTCAGGATTAGGCTACTACTACCAGATTCAGGTAGCAATGTATTGTGCAAACAAAAAAAAAAAATGCAAGTTCCTGGTATGGACCGCAAATGAACAGATTATCCTAGATGTACCATACAACCAAGAGTGGACTGAAAAACACATCTCCCACCTGAAGAAGGTTTACTTCGAGCATCTGTTACCAGCAATAGCTACCAGAATTGCGCATGGTGTAATGACAGTGCGTGGACTCGAGTGATGTAGCTCTTGATTTTAATAATAGTGAACTGAATCAAACTAAAGTCAACACATGTTGGTAAGATTTTTTTTTCATAGTACATACATTTATTCATAGTACATATTGTATGTGATTAAAACCGTCTCTAGTTAAGTTGTTAAATGAGACCACAATAAAATGAAATGAACATGAAATTAAAGATTTTCAGAGCAATGAAAGATTACGATTAAAATAGAATTGTATGAGATTGGAGTCCATGTGTCTATCTCTCTCTCTGTGCGTGGCAGGCAGCTCTTCACATCACATATGTAACTTTACAGTACACAATACTAAAACAAGTGGGTTTCCTCAATGTCCTCTGCCATGTCCCATGAGTATTCATCACCTTCTTCTTGCTCATCAATATGCTCATCTTCATCTATTTCAGATGCTTCTCCCTCAGTTTCCTCTCGAATTAACTGAGGTTGCAAGTTACAAAGCCCCGCACATATAGTTACAATGTCATCAACATGTTGTATTCTACCTGGGATAATATTACTCAACATTTTAAAACCTTTTAATCGTCTAATAGCACGCTCTACTTGAATTCTAACATTTGCCAAGCGACGTGTCTGTGTAACTTCATGCTCCGGAAGTTCTTTACAGCCACGTGTAAACGCTGGTATGGCCAATGTCACTCCAGGAGGCAAAACATCTGTGATGGTGAATCCACGGTCTGCCAAAACTTGATCACCAGGAAGCAGGTGACTAATAAGACCACTGTTCCGTGTGATAAAAGTATCACTAGCCCTCCCACCAAACAATTTGGACACAAACATCACAAAGCCATTGGGAGCTATGCAATATAGGACTTTGTAAGTGTTGTGGTGCTTGTAATTGCTGTATGTTTGGGCTCGTTTCCTTAAGTTCTTTGGCCTTTGTACAAATATCTCGGTACAGTCTATAATGCATGTTGCTTTGGGGTAATGTACGCTGAAGCTCTGAGGCCTTATTCTCTCCAGAGTATCTCTAGGCAACCAAGCTATTATTTTTTCTTTCATAAACCTTGCGAGTATAGGTCTCCAGACTGCAAAGATCTCACAAGCTGTAGTCCTACTTATTCCAAAACGCTTTCCTAGATCTGTGAACATCAAACCAAGGCGGAGTCTCATCAAAACAAGCAACAATTGGTGATGCAATGCCAACTTAATGGTCATTGGCTGAGGTAAAAAATTTGTGAGGGCAAACAAAAGCTGCAAAAAACTGGCGATATGTATGCCTGTGAAAAACCTACTGTCTTTGTCATCAAAGTCATAGGCTGAGATTGATGGTGCAGGATCTGTTTGTGTTGCACTGTCTTTTGTTGACTTGCTTGAACAATAGTTGTGCTCTGAAATCTCTGGCCACTGGACGCCAACATCACACTTCTGTAGAGGAATGTTCTCCAGATTATCCACATCAACCTCTACATCAGCAGGTTCAGCAGCAATTCTGGTGACTTGCATGGTGTTGACTGTAAGGGGCTCAAGACATCTTCTTTTGGGGGGGGGGCTCGACCAGATGGCAGAGGTCCCTGTGGAAGGACAGGAAAACAACAAAAAATTGTTCACATTATTATGTAACATATAATACACTGTACTATTGAAAATGGACACAGATAGGTAATAAGAAAATAATTTTAATTAGGATCTATTCTGCAAAACATTATCACTGAATAAAAGAAAAACAAAAATACAATGTCATGAAGCAATAGTTCTTACCAGCATAGCTGGATAACACCATAGTATTCCCACCCTCTTCCCTGCAAGATACAGCTACAATACCCCCATCTCACAAATGCCCCTTGCCCTCAGATATGAATATGGTAAAGAAATCAACTTACAGCATGAGTTTCATATCCCATGTGCAATACTGGGTATGGGTGCTCTTTGGTTGGTCTGCCATCAGGGAAGTGTATCCCACAGACCTTGAATAGTAAATAACATAGATAGATAATGTTAGATAGATAAGATACTTTAAGGATCCCCAAAGGAGAATTCCAGGTCTTTGTACACACACACACACACACACACACACACACACACACACACTCTGACTTCTCTCTCTCTCTCTCACACACTCTCTCACACACACGTGCACACACACACACACACACACACACACACACACACACACACACACACACACACACACACACACACACAGACAGAGACAGAGACGTACGCTCAAAGAGAGCATGACCACATTCAAACAAACGTATCTGACTTTCTGTGGGTCCTAGCTAATGAGTGTCAATTAGAAAGTTGTCCGGCTCGAGGAGTACAATATACATCCTGATTTTTGTAACTGTAGATAAAACTAACAACCCCACTTTTGTCAAAAGCGCTACTAAGCCCTCACCACGCCCGTTTCTGAAACTTTGCACATGTCTACTGACTAATAAATGTGATGTGTCTGATGAGTTTCATGCAATTTGAAGCATGCTAAGGGTCTCAAAAGCATCCTAAAAGAATGGTAAAGTTTGATGCGTTGCCACGGCAACAGTTTCAAAGATATCAAGAATCCATTCACAGGTCTTCATCTGCCGTATGTTTACATTATACAGATGAAGGTTGAAACAAATCGGGTAAAAATAAGAGGGTGATTTCAAAGCATTTTGAAAGTGACACACTTCCTGCTGTCAGCTGGTGGCGCTATAACTTTGACTCACAATAGTCACATCCATGTGATCGTCCTCTTACAGCGAACAAATTGCTGAAGTTTCATCAAGATCAGTTAATGTATGCTGAATTTATAACACACTTCCTTTTTCACATTTCTCGCCACAATTTCGTTTCCTCGCCACGGCCAAACCGTTTGAGATATCAAAAATCCCTCGCAAACTTTCATCCTCAATGTCTTGACTTCATGCTGACTGAGTTTCATCGAATTTGGATCAGAGGTCTAGGAGGAGTATTTCTTGCAACAAACATATCTGACTTTCTTTTGCAGTACTTTTGCAACAAAAACACTGTCCAAAGATGACACAATTATACAGTTTCTCTTAAACCAAAAATACAAAAAATAATAATAATAACATGTAGGCGCAAAAAGTTAATCCTCAACAATCAAAATTATATCATACATCCACTTTCGCTTACTTTTCTTATGTTCTTCATTCAAGTGTTCTATATTTTTCCATAATGTTTAACTTATATCTTTTCTTAAATCCATTAATAGTTCTAGAGCTCTTACGTCGAATAAGAAGACTGTTCCATAAATCAACTCCTTTAACTGATAAACACCTTCTCTTGGTATTACTCTTTTCCATGGGTTTTTGTAACAATTCAGTTCCTCTGAGACTATATCTCAATTCTCTGATTCGAAGCATTTGTTGTAAACAGTGGGTGTAACTGAGAGGCTAAGGACTGTAAGGTGCTAGCTGTTGCTACTAAGATGAAGCTGATACGGGTGTGCCGGTTAGAACACCAAAGTCGGAGAAGGAATCCAGTTCAACAGATTTATTTGAAGAAGCATATGCAGAGGGGGAGCCAGATCCTATCAGGTTGAGTCAAACAATGCTGTGCACATTTCACTGACACTCTGTATCGTCTCGTGCTTTATGTCCATAGAAGTGAATCAGCATATGTGTGTGGTCTGTAACAAACAAATAAAAGATATGCTCTAACAAACAATGCTTTTTCATTATCTCAATCACATTCATGACAACATTGTGACACTGCCACAGTAAAGCCTTGCACGTTGCTCACTTAAGTTAAATGTATATGAATATATACATATATATATTGTATTGTATACTGTCTGTAGAGGTGCCATGCTGGAAAATGTATTATTATTTGAGCAATTGTTTATGCTTGTTTTTGGTTGGGGGGAGGAACTTTTTGTTGGAATCTTAGGACTTTTATTATGTTGAGCCGAGGGTAAAAAGAGGAGGAAGGGCGGCCATTTTGAAAAAATAAAAAATAGGTTGTTTGGTGAGGTGGCATGGTTTTGGCTAACCTAGCTCAGAGTAGTGATGGCAAAATGAGGCTTCCTGAACCACTGAGACCTCGCAGCCCATTGCTTCACTCAAAGGTTCATTACTCGAAGCTTCATTCAGTATTGCTCACTAGTGACACCTAGCTACTGTGCAAAGAAATAGCAAACAAATTATTTAATTCTGAAGCGATGACCTGAGCAGACTTATGATGTCCATATACCCCCCCCCCTGTCCCGTTTTATTTTATTTTTTCTTCTCACTGTTAATGTCTGTAACCTTTCATTTGCAATAATACAAATACATGAGCAGACATTTGTCCATTGCCTGGGAATAAAATAAAATATGTATATTCTGTCTGAACTTACTTCTCCAGAGACAACTCTCTCTCTCTCTCTCTCTCTCTCTCTCTCACACACACACACACACACACACACACACACACACACACACACACACACACACACACACACACACACACAGAGTTAATTAATTATTCATAAATTATTTGGATAGTGACAGTATGAACAATAAAAGTTACACTGTTGAGTGCAGTGCTTATGGTGGAGGGAGTGTAATAAAGTAAAGTGCAACAGAAAAGTGTGGTGTGGTAAAGGTTAAGAATTGTTTCTGGTGATTTTGTGTATTGAACTGTTACTATTTTTGTGCTGTGTTGTGCTTATGGGACTGGGGACGTAGAGGACCGAAGGAAGGATTAGAAATTATTTTTATTGAGGAACAGAATTTTTTCAAGTGTGTTCAGGCTTAGACATTAAATATTATACAGCCATATAGTGAGGATTATTAGCTATATCAAGACAGTAAAATAATAATAAGCTCTTTCTTGCTGGCTCCATTATAAGAAAAAAGGATTAGGTCACAAAAAGCAAACAATTCCAAAAGGGCAATCCAAATCAAAAACCAGTCCAGTCCAAATCCAAAGCAATCAAAATAATCTTATCTAATTAATATAACAATACTATAATATAGCTATAATTAATACTAACAATAAACTATAACTAATCTAACCTAATAATGTAATAATATAAAGCCCTAACACATATATTGCACAATAACGACGATGAAACATCTCTCTAACTCTGACTCCCTGGCGCTACTTCAACTGATTCAATTACTCCTGACAACACCCACAAGGTGGCGCGAGATTCGAACAAACGACACTCAGACCGAACCGATGACGTTTTCACACAAACCGAGGCCTCGTTTGTCATCAGTCACGTGATTTTCACGTTAACAACACAAGCCTCGAATCGCGGCTTCATCTGGCACGCCCCTTTTTGCTCGACACAAGCTCCGACGCCTCGCTTCAAATGTCACATCACTAGCTCAGAGAAAATTTTCTAAAATGACCTCTGGGAATAGAGACAGTGGCCCTCAAAAGTGCGTACACCAAATTTCCAGCGTACACCTTGCGTACACTCAAAACCACGGTGAGTTTGAGATTTATCAATATGGACCTGGGCGTACGGCACGCTCGAATCCTACACCAGCTCAGGAGGTGTAAGCACGTTTTGAGTTAGTGAGGAAATGCGCAAAAAAATTAACACCACAAAACGCACTGACAAACTAAAAGATATGATATATTATGACCCACTATAAAACAAACAAACAAAAAAACAACATAGTAATTATAAACTTCAGTGTTTATTTTTGTGTAACGTGGACTTCAATGTTTAATTTGTGTGACTTTACCAAAGCATTTGATTTGTAAACATATGTATTCCTTCAGTTGCGAGCCCGCTTTACCCTGACGTTTCAGGATTATCCCCGGCAGGTGCGCACGGACTGGCATGGTTTCGGTAGCCTAATGAAAGGCTTTCAATGACCAAAAAATAATTTAGACTGACAAAATAATAAAAAATACGTTCTTCCTCTTTTAAATGATAATAATAATACAAATAATAATAACGACATCCTTCTTCTAAATAACAATAAGCATCATTAATAAATCATAATAATAAGAAGAATACTATTACAAATTGTCAAGTCAAGTCAAGTCAAGTCACATTTATTTATATAGCGCTTTTCACAATACAGATTGTATCAAAGCAGCTTCACAGTGATAACATGAAAGTAGTACAACACAGATCAATAATATTGCTAAACACTAAATAACCCCAACTGAGCAAGCCCAAAGCAAGCCAAAAGCAAGGCGACAGTGGCAAGGAACCAAAACTCCATCAGATTGAATGGAGAAAAAACCTTGGGAGAACCCAGGCTCAGTCGGGGGCCAGTTCTCCTCTGGCTTACATTTATATTGTTTATATATAAATAATAAATATAAATATTGTTTATGCATAAAACGGCGGCATAACATATCGCAGGCGTTGAGTTGTCCTCACAGGCGTTGGTCCTCTCATCGCAGGCGTTGGGGCATCCGAATCCCCGTGAGAGGCTGGAGACAAAGCTGGACCTGACGAACGCCATTTTTCTTGGGACAAGTGTCCCGAGATAACAGCAGAAAGGCAGATGGGAAATAATTAGCATAGCTGATGTTCATAATGATTTCCATTATACGGGAGTCGGTGTTAGAAAACCACTATCTCACAAACTCTCCGTAACCCAACCATATGCGCCGACCCGTTTGACTAAGGCTGTCGAGCCCCACTGTCGCGGAAATGCGTTTCAGTGGCAAACGGTTCCGTATGGCATAACAGAGGACTAAAAAGTAAGCATTATGTGAATGCTTGACTAAAGAGATGCGTCTTTAATCTAGTTTTAAACTGTGTCAGCGAGTCAGAGCCTCGGACCGTATCGGGAAGGCTATTCCAGAGTTTTGGAGCTAAATGCGAGAACGCCCTCCCTCCTTTAGTGGACTTTGATATCCTAGGAATGGCCAGAAGCCTTGAATTTAGTGATCTTAAGGAACGCGGTGGATTGTAGGGCGAAAGAAGGTCCGTTAAGTATAGGTGCTAAACCATTTGGGGCTTTATAGGTTAGTAGCAGTATTTTGTAATTGATACGGAACTTAATAGGTAACCAGTGTAGAG